GAATAAATAAGCTTTAATATGCTTTTTTTACATAAGCACAATAGGAGTTGCACTACATTATGCTTCGCTTGTCATGCAAAGTTATAATCGCATCTCATATTATCAACGTTTAGCGAAACTACTTTGCGAAGCAGGAAGTGTACTACTGTTTGTATACTAAAGCGAAGCAATCTCTACCTGAGCGATTACCTCATCTGTGGTCTTATATGGCGTATATTCCTCATAATATCCGCTATCTGCTAGTTTCTGATGTGTTATCTCTGCGTAGTATGCTGCTGAACTGCATATCGCCTGCAGCAAAATAGCATTTTGACATCATATTACAGTGGCATTATAAAATATCTTTAAAAACTTTTATGTATTATATCTTTAATTATTATTAAAGACATGGTAATTATAATATTAAAGATAAAGATATAATAAATTATTAAATCATTATATTTTTCATATTAAAAATATCATCAAATGTAGAATCTTACAATTTTATTTAAATATTTGATGTGATTTATTTTAGGTAATTTAAACATTGAAAATTTTTTACACAATAACTCCTTAATAAATATTTTTTAAATATTAAAGTTGTTAGATATTAAAGAATAATTGTGATTACTTACATCAATAACTTTTAACACAAAGTTGTAAGATCCAGTTAAGTCTGGCCACGCCAATTTCTTCCAGAATTCTTTAATCTAAAAAATAAATATAATTATAAATATTAATTTTTATAACAGATTTATATATATCTTGTGATGAATATATTAGAAAATTAAGAAACTTAAGAATAAACTATAAGAATACCTGATAAAAGCATGCAGTGGCATCAATTGCTGATGTGCAGTGTTTGACGAAGTATTCTCCAGTGCAGATTCGATCGAGTTCTGCAGCTCTCCGTACTCTTTGAATTGCCTTAAGTTTCGCCAGATCCAGCCATTTGTCGACAGCTGGTCTAAACCACTCATAATACTTGCAGATCGCTAAAGTTTTATGGTCCGATTGTGGTAAATTATCCTTCATGCTAAGAAAAAAAAAAAAACAATAAACTCTATATTAAATTTACATTTCAATACATTTTATATTACATATTTTTCCCATTTTTCTAATATTTTATATTATTTTTTCTCTTCAATGTAAAATATATATATTAAAAATAAAAGAAACAATTTTTTTATACAATATTAGCTTTCAGTTCTATGAAAATTAATAATGCACTATTTTATATGCATTATATTATTATTTTATAATAATATTATTATTTTATAATATAAAAGCGTTATTATAAATAATTCAAAATGTATTTATGTATTAGCATTATAAAAGTGAGGTATTGCAAAAAAATTATATTAAAATAATCATATATTAAACATCCATTTTTCTTTTTGAAATAAAAAATTGTAAATAAATCAGATATTTACTTTACAAAATCTTGGAGTGCCAAATAAAGTTCGAATATCGGTGTTCCTATCTCAGCACCAGGTGGTAGAACATATTCTTCGTCTCTGTTTTGACCATGAAGTTGTAGACAGGCGGTGGTGACCCTTGCACCAAGCTCATTATGCATCTGTGAAGACGATCGTTTGAATTAAGCGCGATCTCTTCAATCATAGAATTAAACGCCCAAGCAGAGGAGATATTACTTTTTATATTTAAGCTGTTATACAATGCCATTGTACTTTGCGGTAATATTCTTGAAGCATTGTGTCAAAGATCTTTTTATTCTTATCTAACTAATTAAATAGCTACTACAATTCAAATGTAGTTTTTACTAAGAGATATAAAGCCCTTAAAAAGTTTGATACATGCCTTTTTTGCAAGACGTGTATAATTGTTCGTAAAATAGTTCATACACAATCCAACATTTTGTTTTAATAATGTTTATTATTAAGATTCTATTTTTTTATATTATGTTTTCTGATAATTGAATCATAAATGTATATATTATAATAATTTGAGATAATAATAACAAGAAATAATAATAATAGCGAAAAATTACGATTATCTTTTAATAAAGATTATAGCTTCTCTTTTTTTCGAAAAATGTTTTATTTGATGCATATAAAATGCGTCAGAAATTAAATTTTGTTGAGATCAATTTTACACGCTATCACGCATCATGTATTTTATTTAGCGCAACAATTTGTTGGATAATATATGCATTGCGCAAACAATGCAAGCCCTAACGGATTTGCATTCTCGGTGAAATTTGTACGTGAAGCTATTAAAGTTCAATTTCGCGTGTTTGTAGTAAATTATCGTGTTGCACGTTGATGTGCGGCCCTTCATGACTTTACTCAAAGAGGTCTCAACAGAGGTGCCGGATGTCAGTCAGATGTAGTTAACACGGATAAATAGGAGTTGTGCTTGTAAACAGCAGGCGGTCAGTATTATTAAATTGCTCAAGCATCTTTGTAGTAAATTGTTTAGAGAATAGTATTAATTAAAGATTACGGAATGTTCGCAAAGTTCCATCCATATCCATCTCTATCTTGATGTATTCGTATACAACTTGTTCAGTTAATTTAATAACTTTCCACAAGAGCAATTGAGAGTGCAAATGGCATAATAAATAATGCATATTTGAAATCTTCTTAAAAAAATTTAACTTATATAATATAATAATTTGTAATATAAACTGAAAATTTGCTTAGAAAAATTTTCATAATAAATTTCCAGTTAATTAATCATATATGACGAAATAAATGTAAAAAGGCAAAATTTTAGAATTATTTTATAAAATTTTAATTTATTTAATTCAATGTAATTGAATTTCGTGACAATATGCACAATGGTTAAATCATTAAGAATCACCGAACTTTTTGCTTGAAATTTCGCGATAGAATTGAACAAGTACACAACATTAGTAGTTGTAAAATTTTTGTGAGTGACTGAAGTTTTATGGTATCTATGGAAGAAATTTAATCAGGACTCGTGAGATATTGGATGTTGAAATTGAGGATGCGCGAGAGCATTCCTGAAAGTGCAAAAAATATAAATTACGCGTCTTTTATATTCTTGTTCGTCCTACGAAAAATAAGTTACTTTAATAAGAAAAATTTTAAAGTTGTAAATTTCCTAATTCTTCAAATTTAAGCTTGTCTTTAAAAGCATTAAATTTTCTACTATTTTTTATATTATTCTTTATTTAAACTAATTTTTGATAAAAAATAATTAAATAAATAAATCTTTTATTTACATAAATATATGAAAATGAATATTTAAACATTTAATTGTTTCAAATTTATTGTTATTTAAAGAAAGACATTGTATATTTGACATATAGGCTGTACTGCCGAATAAGACAAACTATTTTTGTTACACAACATTATATAATATAAAAAGAAAATGTAATTATTTTTTAAACAATATTCAATTTAAAAAAATATATATATATTTTCCCAAAGTAATATATATTTGCAAACATTTTTATTTTATTCATTTTTTGCCGAACAGTAATTATGAATGTATTTCTCGTAATATGTAATGCATATTAAAATATATACAAATATATTAATAATTTATGCATCATGACTTGTTTGGCAATAAATTTTAATTTATATAAAATATCTCAATATTAGAAAAAGTAACATTAACAACATTATAATAACGTTGCTTTTTAATAATTTTCTTATTAAAATCAAACTATTTTGTCTTTAAATATTTTAAATTTTGCAAATACTAAAATAATATATGTGCAAGTTGCATTGAATAAATAAATGAATAAATTTCAAAGAACTATAATTTTGCAGATCAATAATTATTATCAAATAATTATTATCACATGCTTTCTAGAATTATGCATTATTAATTTTAGTTACTTTTATTGAGTGTTATAAAGTAATCATATATAATGAGAAATACATCTGTACCATGTAAAAATAAGGGCATAACGGCAAATGAGAGATGTGTTATTTGCTGAACCGGCGAGCGCATGCAATCGGTACGCGTCAAGTGCAGCTGTGTCTCACTAACGATCTAGATGAGCGCATGCAAAATGCTATGGTTTTTACCCACGAAGGTTACGCAATACGAAGGTATCATGAGAAATATGTACTAACGCTAGCGAATAAAGAACTGACAAGTATTAAATGACACAAGGCAGTAGTGTGCATCACAGCCTTATCCGACTATAATATCAAGAGAATTTATCAACTCGAAGCTAATTTGTTTAGAGAAAAAGAGCAGAAAAATTTGTAACTATTGTATCACTGATAATAAAATGATACTAACATGCATGTTTGTTATTATCGGTATGCTGAAATTGATATAAAACAGATTTTTAAATAATATTACAAATGATATTATAATATTTTACAAAACATATATATAATTTAATATTTAATATTTTAATATTTTAAATTTAATATTTTTATTACAAATAATAATGTAATAATAAGAGAATTAAAATTATTTTAGTCAGCACACTGTTGCCCGTATTATTCATTTTGCGCATATTCTATTTGCATTTATGTGTGTAAATGTTGAAAGTGTGCTCGCTTTGTGTTAAAAAACTATATGTATAAAATTTTAAATATTATAAAGTATAGCGAGCTTAGATTGCCACTCGAAATAAAAATTAACCGCCTCGAAACTAACGTATGTAACAATATATACATACAATAAA